GAGAAGCGGAGTGACTGACGCACAGCTCTCACCATTCCCTTCCCCGCAGAGTTCAGGCAAGAGTCAGGGTGACTGCTGCTGAAAGTGTATGAGAACGCTGAGTGTAAATCCAGTGCCTGTTCTGACTTTAGCGCAGATGCGGCGGTTGCTGGATATCAACTTGCCCTGCAGACTTCCCCGTAATGAGTTTTTATAGGTCGGAGAATGCGGACTACAAACCCCTCCCCCCTCCCTTTCCCCCCCCGCACAGGAAGTGACTCCAAGCACAGCGGGTGTACAGACCCGGGAACTCAGCACAGGGATGGTGGGAGCTCCTCATAATGGGCACAGCGGGTGTACAGACCCGGGAACTCAGCACAGGGATGGTGGGAGCTCCTCATAATGGGTACAGGAGGTGTACAGACCCGGGAACTCAGCACAGGGATGGTGGGGGCCTCTCATAATGGGCACAGCGGGTGTACAGACCCGGGAACTCAGCACAGGGCTGTCACCATGAAGCACACAATGAATTGCAATGTTACAGAAAACAATAAAGCTTCATTTGAACACAGTTCCGGCTGCTCGGTGGGGACATTGCTCCCTGTATGTGGTCCCTACTTTTGCATTATTCATCATGATGACTCTACGTCTTTTGATGGCACAAAAACAGCCGTATCTGCCCCCCCCCCCCTCCCCCCAGGGCACGGTCCTGGCACAGGGTGGCATCCCGGAAAACCCCCTTCCCACGCTTCGGAAGTAGGCTTGTCAAGCTGGCCCCGTCTCCTTCCCCAAACAACACGCCCAAACTTCCTCAACGCGACTCCAGGCCGCGCCGCGGGCCCCCCGAGAACCGGCCAACGGGGGAGGCCGCCTCCATCGCCAGAGCCCAGGGCGTGATGCGGTTGGGGAGGGGGGAGTGGTGCCCTACAGAATAGCTTTGCGCTTGCAGACACTCGGGCTGCCGGAGAATTCATCAGCGGCGGAGGTGAACCGCGGAGCTGCGGTCTGGTGATCACTGTGCTCTGCAAAATCCGGCCAAGCCCTTGCAAAAAGTTCCTTTCGGCAGAGCAAGTCACCGGATCTCACCATCTTCCGCCATGGTGACAACACATCTGAAAAAATCAAAAAGTTGTTTGGGTGG